ATGCTGCTCCATAACTCCCACCAGAAATATTCCTCATTCACAGAGTTTAAGCCACATTAAGCTAGAGCAGGAAAATAGGCACAAATACTTAAAGCTTGGTTAAAAAAAAAAAGCCAAGTCAAGTATGTTCCTGAAAGGCATTCTATGAGGGAATTGCATTAGAGAATTAAATTAAATATGGCAGGATCCCTCTGGCACAGGGACTTCCTAGAGCTTGCATAGTTTATTTTTTTTCTGTATTTTTAGGGAAGGGTCTACAGGGTGTTCAGGGTCTCACTACTAGATCGGGCTCGTAGTGATCCGCCTGGTTACAGACTCCCAAGAGCTGGGATTATAAACACATGCCACCACTCCCAGCCTCAATCACTGTCTCAGTGTGCCTGGGGGTGGGCCCTGCACAGCAGGCCCGGGGATCCAACCCTCCGCCCCTGCGCCTGCTTGCAGGCGCTTTAATCTGCTGAACTATTTGGCTGGCCCCATTTGCATAGTCTTAGTAACTAGAAAAGCCTCAGTGGTTTTGGAGGTAGTTAAGGGTCCTCCAACCAAAGCAAAAAAGTGGAACTGTGCTCATTCGCTGGCTGTGGATAAGGCTGAGTTTGCCCCAGCTCTTTCTGCCCCAAGAGAGCCAGTCTCCTCTGCTGTCTGAAGAAATTTCTCAGCGTTCTCCAATCTGCTCCAAACAGATGTATCAGCTTACACTCTCATTCTCGCTCCCAAAGCTCCTACTGAGCTAGCCAGACTATTTACCATTCCTGAAAGGGCTCTGGTCCTCCTGCCTCTGCGTCTACCCCGCGCTTTCTTTTCCTGGCCCGATGACCACAGGGCCGTCCTCTCCTCCACCTCAGCCCACTCCAGTCCTGCTTCACATGGCTCCTGGGCTCCAAGGCCACCTCCTCCGTTATCCGAACGGCTCTGACACCAGCCATTGGCTCGCCATTCCCTGGTGGTGCCATCCCTTTTCGCTGAAGTTGGTGGTGTGATAGTTCATCCCACTTCCTAAATTCCTCAGAAGTGTGCCATGGTTTGTTCGTTCACTCTAAGGCGATGCCTAACATTGCGTCTGATAAGGAATGGAACACGTACAAGCGTGAAAACTCAGATAGTGTAATTTGGTGCTTGGTGAGAATTTTTTTTTTTTTTCTTTTTGGTGTTGAGGATCAAACCCACTCCTCACAATGAAAACTTCCGCCAAATCGATTGTCGCACTGCACCTCCTCTAGTATAAGTGCTGGGTCTAGGTAGTTGGTATGTTTGTACCTTCAAGGAGACCTCATCTCCTGCCCAGCCGAACTCTTAAAAAGCGATCTCGTGAATTATTTCTGGCCACCAGGGGGCCTCATACCGCAACCTGAGCCCCGGAAGAAATTATGTGGAAAGAATTACATGTAAGGACTAAAAATGGGATCGCGTCTGGAGACAGCAACGTCTCTCCTAACTGTGAGCAGCTGGAGGAGATGCTCTCATTGCCCAATGCCTAAATCGTCTTACAGTGCCTACTCCAGGGCTTTTCCAGGATGACAAGGACTAGCGCCTTCTGGAGAGCCTCCCTCCAGTCACATCCAAGGCAGTGCCCCCCTCCCAAGCTGTAAGGCACAAGAATAATCCTAGCACTTGTGAATCACAACTCCCATAACCAAAGTAGACTAGGCTTGAATTATAATCATAGATATCCTATCACATGCCCTCCTTGGGCGAAGGCTAGCTTCACAAATGGTTCTATTATATGCAGACAAGTGTTGAATGTGTGCATAGATATTACGTATAGATGAATACATTCCAAATATCATCTGATCTCTTCCCCAAGCACCAAGAATCAGCTACGCCAATGGCACAGTTGCCCCATATTCACCAACTCCCAAATGCACAGAAAGAACATCTAACTTAACCTGGGCAGAGGGTTTATAGCTCAGGCTACAGAGGATAAATGCTAGGAGGCTCTGGTCCCCTTCACCTACTGGCTTTGCTAACCTAGGAAATTTTTCCTAGAGAAGGTGCTCAAGGGGGTAATGTGGTTTTTGCATCCCATTCACTGAGAGAGAGAGAGAGAGAGAGAGAGAGAGAGAGAGAGAGAGACAGAGACAGAGACAGACAGAGAGACAGAGACAGAGAGACATAGACAGAGAGTAAGAGAGACAGAGAATAGAGAGAGAGAGATAGAGAGAGAGACAGACAGTCTGACAGACAGACAGAGAGAGAGAAGGGGAAGAAGAGGAAGGAAGAGAGGGAGGAGAAGGAGAAGAAGGAAAAGGAGAGGGAGAAAAAAGAAGGTAAGAGGAGGAAGAGGGAAGAGAAGCGGAGGGGGCTGGGAGGGAAAGAAGAGGAGGACAAGTAGGCAGGTGATAGATTAATAGAAAGGTTTCCTGCAAAGCATTATGGTCTTGGAGTTTGAAGATGTCATTATGAATGCCAACTCTCCAGTTAAACCGTCCGATGATCTTGAGAAGTCTCATCGCTGCAATGAGATTAAAGAAATGATTTCAATTTTATAAACTAACAAGTACTACCAAGTTGCAAAATTGCTATTAATAATAACATGCAGTGTTGACTTTGGCTCCTTTCTCTACTGAGTGTCCCAACATGTAGTTCAGCATCAAGCTGCCCTCTGTTTTGATTATGTGGCTTTTATAGTTCCTTTGTTTAACTTCTATGTTATCCACAGACTTTCTCAGCCCAAAATAACCTGAGGAAAGCACTGTCCCAAAGATGAATAACAACTTAGGCTTTTAAATGTTCTTCCAGTCTTTAGCACTTCCATGTATATTGGAGTCAACAGACAGGAACACAGGAACACTGTTTTTGCTATGAAAATTCAACCATGTGCCCTCATCAAATAAAAAAAAAAAATCTGAGGAAGGAAGTCCTCTTCCCCATTTGTCTTTTTCTTTCCTCCTTTGGCTGCTCTTCAGAAAAGAACACCATGGGATAAATCTAGAGAAGCTCATAGCTCCTGCTTTTTGAGCTTCCAAAGACTTTTCTTGTCATGATTTAAGGCCTATGAAGGAACCTCTGTGGGTTATTTGCAGTTGATTTTTTACACCACTCTCTAACTCTAGTACTTGATCTCGTATATAGCATGACTAAATTACATCTGATACTCTAGGACTAGGAGTGTATGCTTCTACTCTGCGTTTTGAGTGAGGGTGCTGTAGAAGCTGAGAGGTTAGCTGACTTCTTTGATCAAAATCTCCCAACAAGTGAGTCCTGGCGCAAATCAGTGGACCAGAGGGTATAGTTATTGTGATTTCTCAGGCTTTTTGGGCTGCTACAACAAAACTATCAAAGACTGGCAGGTTTACAAACATCACAAATATATTTCTTACATTTCCAGTAGAGGTCAGTTACTGGTGCAAATGCAGTGTCTGGTGAGGGCCTGCAGTCTTGTATAGTCTTCTTGCTATGCCCTCACGAGGTGGGAAGGACCAAGGAGCTTTCTGAGGTAACCGATCCCAACCAGAAAGATGTCACTTTCCCCACCTCATCACCACCCAGAAGCCCCACTGCCTAATGCCATCACATCAGGAGTTACGCTTCAAGGTGTGAATTTTGGGGGTATGCAAGCAAACAGTGTCTAGCACCCACTTTGATGCTTAGTCATAAATCATTTCCAGAATGTCTCCTTAATAAAAGTATCCTTTCAACTACTTTCAAAAGGCTCTTATTAAATAAAAATACACATAGAAAATGTATACAACTCAGTGAATTTCTATAAATCCAACCTGTAGACCATATAGCTATTGCAAAGATGAATAATGCTTGATGCTACTAGTACCCCAAAACTTCCTGCATGTACAGTTCCAAGCACTCTCTCTCTCTCAAGGAGCAACCACTGTCATGACCTCTAATATAATGTATACTCTGGGCCTGGCTTTTTCTCTGCAATATTCGCGAACATACTTTCATATCATTGTATGTGGTTGTCAGTGGTTCATTTGCACTGCTGTGTAGAATTCCATCATGCTGGCACTTGGCCGGTTTCTCAGCCTTTCTACTACTGATATGCAGCTTGTGGTTTCTAGTTTCTGACTAGGAAGGATAGGGCTTTTGGTAACCAGCCTCTGATAGGACCCCAAATATACCTGATTCTTGGCATCTGCAAACACACAATGTCATGAGGACATTCAGGCATCAAAGGAGAGGTACACATGGAGGGAAACTGAGGTATGTAAGCCAGCAGCCTGAGGCCAACCGAGGCTTCAAGTAATTACCAGAGTGAGTTTGGAGGTAGCACTTCTTCCATAGACTCTTAAACTGACACCCTGACTTAATACTTGTGAGGGACCCTGCCCAGAGAGTTTTCTCCC